TGTATCTTTCCACATGTATGATAGCTTTGTACAGTCTTTCCTATGATGTCAGACTGTAAAATAACAAGATTGATTTTATAACAAAATCAATGATTTTTAACAAATATACTAGAACTTTTCTATCTATATGAACATATGTTCATCAAAATAGTCACCATGGAAGGCTGTATTCTTATTGCAATGATGCTGATGTTGCTCAGACTTTTTTTTTCTTTTTTTTGCAGTGCCTTTTTAGAATTGGCTTAAGAACTAGATTGGGCAGGTAGGTGACACAGTGGATAGAACACCAGGCCTGAAATCAGGAAGACTCATCTTCCTGATTTGGCTTGAGATGATTACTAGTTGAGTGACCCTGGGCAAGTCACTTATCCCCTGTTTGCTTCTGTTTCTTCATCTATAAAATGAGCTGGAGAAGGAAATGGCAAATCACTCCAGTATCTCTGCCAAGAAAACCCCAAATGGGGTTACAAAGAGTCGAACATGACTAAAAAAAAAAAGATTAACGAGCATACAAGAAAATTAGTCTTGTTACTTAATAATCAGACTCTGTTTCTTAAAATAAATTTTTGTTGGTGCCATTTTTAATATCACTATAATTTCCTCTAGTATTATTATCTCTTCCTCTTTCCTCCCAGCCAGCCATCTTAAATAACAAAGAATATTTTAAAGATAAAGAAAGAAAAAGGTGAAAAAATTAGCATGACTGATCCATACATCAAAAAAGTCTGAAAATATGGGTCATGTAACTAACACACTCATGGACTTCTCTGCAAAGGGGTGGAGTGGGGGTACCTTCTTATATCTCATGCTTGTTCTTTGTAATTTTACACCATTCACTTTTTTGTGTTTTTTTTTCTCATTTACATTGTCATAATCAATTGCGTACATTGTTTTCTTGGCTCTGCTTACTTTACTCTGCATTAGTTCATATAGATCTTTTCAAGCTTCACTATATTCATCACAATCATAATTTCTTATAGCACAGTAATATTCCTTTATATTCATTTATCACAATTTGTTTAGCTGTTCCCAATGGATAGACACCTACTTTGTTTCCAATTCTTTGCTCAGACTTTGTTTTTGACCCAAAATCAAACAAGCCAGTCCAAACTGGCTCACAGGATCACAAGATCAGATTATTAAATTTTCAGTGTTAGCATTTACATCTACAAAATGAGTATTGATTATCCAGACTTAAGAAAGTAATGGAAAAATGTTAATGATGCAAACTAAACTTAAAAGTATGTCAGGTGTACATTTTTTCCTTGGGGAGCTGGTTGTTAAACATTTACCACTCCCCCAAATGGGATTTTTCAGTTTGAGCACCTATGTGACTTGTTCCAGGATGGTTTTAGGTTATTTCCAAAAATCATGTCTACCCTGAAAAAGATAGAGATTTTTCCACCCCTGAAATTAGGTAACTTCTGCAGATAAATCTAAAGAAGAATTAGGTAACCAGTTTTTTATATTAGTGCATGCTATGCACCAGATTCTGTGCTAAGTGCTTTATGAATATTATCTCATTTGATCCTCATAACAACCCTGGGAGGTAAGTGTCAATAAGGTAAGTATTATCCGCATTTTACAGATAGTAGCTAACATTTGGATACTGAACAACAAAAAACAAAAGCTAACATTTATATAGTACTTACCATGTGCCAGGCGCTGTGCTAAGTGCTTTGCAATTATTATCTTATTTGATCATCACAACCCTGGGAGGTAGTTACTATTATTCCCATCTTGTGAATGAGGAAACTTAGGAAACTAGAAGTTAAATGACTTGTAGTCAGGATCACACAGGTAAGTAAGTGGTCTGAGGCCTGATTTGAACTCAGGTGTTTCTGACTCCAGGTCCAGAGTTCTATCCACTTCACCACTTCGATGCCAATTCACCATTGGAATAAGTGTATAGTTTCCTCACAGGGACTCTTTTGAAGGGAAACCTTCATTTATATGTATGAGGTCTGCTATGCTTGTTTAGAAAAATCATTTATATTATTTAGGTATGGTAACACCTAAAACCTATCAGATTCTGATGTTTAGGGGGAGTGGTTATCAAATTCCTTTGAGATTAGTGTATGGGTGAGGGTTATGGTGAAAGTGAGTCCTCATCTGTCATACAAGATACCAGTAAGAGAGACTGAGAGTAAGGGAGGTTTCAGGGGGAAAAAAATCAGTTCATTCTAGGACCTTTAGCAACAAGCTTGAAGTAGGTATGCAGATCACAGGTCAATAAATGAGGACAAAGTCTTTATGGGGGAAAGGATGTCTTTTAGCTAGATTAGGGACAGAACAATACATAGCTGAGCCAACAGGATTTTCTGCTCAATAGGGCCTAGCCTTATCCTAATTTGGAACTCTGAGCACCCCTTCTGATTAAGCCTACATTCGGGAGTCACAAAGAAGCAAGTAAATTGGCACTGAGAGATTTCTGAGAAAACAATTCTGACTCTTTCCCCTGAGATTGAGATTAAGCCAAAAATGGGTCTTTGAAATGCTCGATGCTAACCTTTCCTAGCATTCTGGTCCCACTTCCATAGAGCTTGCAGCACAAGCTGGGAGCAGGTGGTATTTGTACATTGCAGCTATCATTAGTGGAAAACTAAGGGGAAGAATGGAGAGACAGAGACAGAGAGAGAGGCAGAGAGACAGAAACAGACAGAGACGAAGACAGAGACAGTGACAGAGAGAGAGAGTGAGAGCATCTCTTATGTTTGTTTTCTTTCTTTGGCTTCTTTACTCAGGAGAGGGTACTCCTAGTAGAAGATTCATGTCCTTCCTGTGTAAATCAACATGCTGGGGCCCTTTCTTTTCAGTGGTTCATCAAAAGGGAAGTGGTTTGGGTTGGAATGTTTTTGTTCTCTGGAATGGTCAGTGAGGCAGCAGAGTCATGTGTGAATGATCAGAGGGACCCAGAGCCCCAGAGACATAAACTGCTACTTCTGGACACCTGTTGTACATTCATCAGATGTTAGAATTTGAGAGACCTTAGAGATTATTGAATAATAAATTCAGTAAATATTAATAAGAATAATAGCTAACATGTATATATCACTTGACATATTAATGTGTATCAAATATGTCATTTGATCCTTATAGCAAGTCTGTAAAGTAAGTGTTGTAATTATAGAATATTTATTTTACAGATGAGGAAAACAGAGACAGAGGAGTTCAGTTCCCAGGGTTACAGAGCTAGTAAGTGTCTAAGGCATCATCTGAACTCAGGTTGTCCTGACTTCAAATCTTTTGTTCTGTCCAATGTGCCACCTGCCTGCCTAATTTAATTAATGCCTCTGATTCACCAAGGGATTGTGCTAGGTGCTGGGGATACAAAGGTAAAAATGCCAGAGTGAATGCCTTCAGGGAGTTTTTATTCTTGGGGAAACCAAGGGTGGGAAAGCAAATGAAAACTGATAAATGTACAGAGTGTGGGGGAAGCAAAGAGGAGATCTAGATAAAGTATCCTCGTCTCACTGGGAGAAGCCAGTCTCAGAGGTGATGTATGTCTTAGAAAAACAGTGATACTGGTGCTATAATCAATTGTTAGGCAGCACTCTGGACATAGGGCTCAAAGTGGCCCTTGCTTAATGGGCTGTCACTCTAAGATGGATGAATAGATTTGAGTTCAATTAGTAGCATGGTTGGTTCTGAGCACAAGATAACTGAGTTTATCTGCAAGAGTACTGGAGGTGTCTCAGAATAGGTCCCTTGGGAACAAACCTTGAAAAAATATTTGCTTGAGGTGATAAAGAGGGATCAGGGGAATGTGGTGGTTGTTTTTTTTTTTTTTAACCTTATCTTAGATCAGGAGTTATTAACTTTTTTTGTGTCATTTTGACACCTTAAGCAATCTGGTAAAGCCCATAAACCCCTTTTGAAAAACATTTTCTAAATGCATAAAATAAAATACATAGGACTACAAAAGAAACCAATTATATTGGAATACAGTAATCAAATATATATATGTATATATGTGTATACATATACATACATACATATATATGTACACACACATACATACCCACATATACATTGTAAAGTTCACATACCCCAGGTTAAAAACCTCTGGCTTAGTTAGAGATTAGTCTTCTTGCATGATGGAAAAAAAAAATCAAGCTAGAACCATCTGTTCTTTGATAGAATGAAGACTTCTTCCAGGGATGACAAACTGGTGTTTTTCACTAATTTTTAAAGAAATTATGAATTACATCTAGAACTAAATCCCTGAAATGGAATTACACTGCTTTAGCTCTGCCACTAGGAAGCTAACATAGTTTTCAGAGAGGCGTGATGTGGTACCAGGGAATAGCTTAGGCATAGGTATGATGTTGTTTGACATGGGTCTCTATTTAAAAAGAAACATGAAAATCCAGAGAAATCAATGAGCTCCTCATTGAGCTGGAACAAACTTCTCAAACCTGCCGGGTCAAGGAATATAGTAGAGAGTTTAGCGTTTTTATCTATTTTCCTATGTGGGACCCAGCTCTCTGCAGAGTGGTAGCAGGGCTTCGTCTGTCTCTGCCTTTCTTAGAATTATCACTGATCTTGGAATTAACCTCTAAACCGTGGTGTCCCTTTGCTTGATTAGCCTGAGTAGAGAAAAAGGATGAGATACTCTGTGGGATTGCTGATTCATCATGGGGCCCCATTTAGCTCCCATTTAGCTTCAGGGTAATTGGAACCACAGTGGCCCCCAGTGGGCTGCCAGATTAATCACAGACTGAAATTTCTCATCTCAAAGTGGGGATGGGGTGGGAGGGGGAATCATTCCTTTCCACCTTAGCCAATATTTATGTGACCTACCCAGGTTTCATGGATTATGTATGAGCATTCAAATTGTTGTTGGATTAGTTTGTGTTGACGGATATCAAATCATTAACAGTGAATATTAGTAATGTTGTTGATGCAAATACCCTAGGTCATTCTCTCATGGATCTCCATTAGGATTTTTCAAGGCCACATTGATGATTGTTGTGTATTATTTATTTTTTTTAATCCAGAAAAAAAGGCATCGATTACAAACGTATCTGTGTTTAATGATACCTGTGTGAAGTGGAGAGTGAGTCCAGAAAGAGTGGTCTTGAAGATGGTATATCTGGTAAGGGAAATAATTGGTTTTTCTTCCTTGTAGAAAAGAGGACATATTGGAGTCAAAATTTAATTACAAGCTTAATTAAGTGTAACAATGATTAGGACCATATTTATTAAGACCCTGTTCCTTTGAGAGCTTCCTAATTCACTTACTGTCCAATCCTAGCAGTTTCAATTCATTTTAGTCTAATACTAGAGGCAGAGTATTAAGTCATTTTAACCTTTTGATGTTCTAGACAACTGTCTAGGGCTAGAAGTCTTGCAGAGAAGTTACTGATGAGTTTTCTCACCTTTGGTGAATTCATAGGCCCAGTTCCTATCTCTATCAATTTAACAAGCATTTGTTAAATACCTAATATGTGTTAGGCACTGTTGATGCAAAACCAAAATAGTCCCTCCCCTCACAGGGTTCTGTTCTACTGGAGAGAAACAGTATATACACACATCAGTAGACACATAGATAGCGAGAGGGTTCAGTGGATAGAGCACTGGGCCTGGAATCAGGAAGATCTGAGTTCAAATGCAGCCTCAGACACTTGGTAGCTGTGTGACCCTGCCCTTTGAAGAGTAGGTGTTCCCAAGGGGTGCCAATCAACCATGATTGGTCGACATACTAGGAGGTAGGTCATACTAAAATGAGGTCTTGAGTAGGTGCTTTATTGACCACAGGGGTCAATATCACCCATCATCAAAAGAAATACCACCCCCAATCTTAGAAATCTGTCTCCACCCAAACCTGAGTAGGATACAATCAATTCAGGCCTGGGTTGGATTTTGACCAAAATAAGAAGATTCAATGCAATCTCATTATCAGAGATGTCCTTCTGAAGAACTTTGGTCAGAAGGCTGACAGGGGGCAGGGTGGAGCTCTGAGTCTCCAGTACATAGATTACCAAGAGAAATCATTTTTAACTTTCCCCCATCTGATTCTAATGAGAGGCATGGCCTCCTCAATGATTCACTAACTGATAGGGTCAACATTTCATCAAGGGGTTTTGGGGATTTATAACAATATAGGAGAGGCTCAGGAGAAATTGATCAACGCATTGACAAATCAAAGGGGGCAGTCCTCTTAGTAAGTACAGATACAGAGACCCAAAAGTAAGGATAAATTGTCCATTTAAAGCTTCAGAAGAATCTTCTCATACAGCTGTCTGGTGTTCTGGACATAATCCGGTGAAGTTTTCTGGTCTGAATGCTGTTCAAGCAGTGTTCAGCAGTCTATCTTCTTGTAGAGATCCTCTTTCTTGTGCCTCCTCTTTTACAAGATTGATCTTAACACAATTTTAAATTACCTTGCCAATAACCAGGTCAAATAGTAGAAGCTAACTCAACCCTTATGTCTCTATTATTATAAGATTAGAATTGGGACCTTGGCCAGTTTTCATGTTTTAGAAACTGAAATTAAAAAAGAACTAACAGAAAAATTAGAACCCAGTTTTTATACTTTGCATTAATTCCAGTTTTTACATTTTGCACTTTATATTTTGCATTAATTATTTATTCATTCTTATTCATATTCCCCCATCAGGAGGATGAGATTCCACTAAGGAATTAATAACAGACTCCAATACATAATAAACACATTGAGTAATCAATTTAAAAACAGTACATATTAAGTAATAAAACAATTCCAACTTCTGGTCATGTACAAATAAATAACCCTTAATTAAAGTGGATGCTTCTTTTAAGGCATTTGCAAGATAGACCACAAGTCATTCTTCTTTTAACATTAACTGATTGCAACAAACTGAGACAGATAAGATATTAACTAAGTAACAAAATAACACCCTGGTTTCACAAGCCCCTGGCCTAATTATCCCCATACGATTATGAGGAATTAAAGGACCCTAGCTTATACAAGAATATACTAGTAACAGATGTCAAGGTTAAATACTTAATTCTAAAATTCTAGGCCAAATAGCTTAATCTTATACTTGCACCTTACTATAGTAACTTCAGATATTCCAGCATCAATCTGTTATTTAATAGATTTAATATTATGCTTACAAAACTTTTGATTATAGAAATTTTCCATAAAAGAATAGGGATATAACTAAAGTAAGGGAACAATGCTTCTCTAACTTCATGTCAATTCCAGGCAGAAGTTATATAAATGGCCAACTGCATTGAGCCAGGCTTAAAGTCTGCCAGGTGTCATACCGGGAAATTGAGTCAGGAGAATCCTACTTCAGCTCACGCAGAAAAGTAATTCTCCTGACCTTCCCATGAGAACACCCTCTGTAGTTACTCCCCACAGGATTGCTGGCCTCATGGGTCAGTGGCTCAGTCAGTTCATAGATAACCATACCTGGAGTTAGACTCATAATAAAGTCAGTTATCAGTCTCCTAGGGTCTTGAATAGCAAATCTCCAATAATCACAGTTTTAGAAGTGACTATAATCTCACATTGGTTAGGGAACATCTCTAAAGTGAGCCCCAAGTAGTTTACATGCATTCCTACACCTATTCCAGTTCCTGATTAAATAACATCATGAGTAAAATCAAGTTTCACAAGTTACTGCTCTAATAGATATGCATCTCTGTTTCTCAGGCTTATTTATCCTTCTCTAACCATCCTTAATCTGAAAGAATGAGACACTTTCAGGAATTGAATCTTACACATGTAAGAAGTTCAAACACTGATTCTAACCCTTGGTAGGCCATAGAATGAATTCAGATTAAAAGAGCAAGATCTTCCCCACTTACAACTCATTACAATAATTGCTTTAGTATTAATACCTCTGATGCTGCTCCCACTGAGCTGCTGACTCTGACTGTTTCTCAGAAAGCACCCAGTAAGGCCAGTCCAAGGACACAACACACCTGGGAAATTCAAACCTAGGAAAACAAGCTCAAAATTCACAGTAGGTTTGGACATAATTGTCATCAATGTCAAATTATTACTTGCAACTTATAAATGGAAATTTAGTAGGCCTTCTAAAAATCACACAAAAGATTTTGCAGAACATTTCTTCATAAAAATATTTCCCTTTCTTAAAAACAGCTTACAATTGTTTCTGTTACTATAACAAACTAAATTAATTACAAGGAGATTTTACAAGGTCCTTTCTTGCACAATTACCAAGTTTCATTTCAGAAAAATACTTTTATAAATACTTGATTTAAACAATAACTCCAAATAGCTTAGTTAACAATCTTAATTTTTCATAAGTGAGAACCAAATAATTTTAGATGAAACTTCCTTTTAAATATAGACAAAACTTTAGGGGCAGCTAGCTGGCGCAGCAGATAGAGCACTGGCTCTGGAATCAGGAGGACCTGAGTTCAAATCTCAGACACAAAACACTCACTAGCTGTGTGACCTTGGGCAAGTCACTTAACCTCAATTGCCTCACTTGAAAAAAAATATATAGACAAAACTTGGAAGTTTATGATTTCTTAAATTACAGTAACTCAAAATGTTATAGCACATGGTCAGATAGAATGACCTAATAGCTTTCTAACACATTCATTTATTTTTCTTTTCTGACAGTACAACTCTTAATCTAACAACATCTAGATTATAAAAGAAATGGCTTTTCTAATAACCCATTATCAATTTAGATAAATGCATTTCTAAATCACCTTGCACAGAGAATCATTCATCTCATTATTAATATGTTGAAATTATAACCTAAAACCATCTTATATATTTTCATAATAGCCAAGATTTCAAATGAAAAATCTGCTCTCATAGTAAATATCAGTATTATTATTATTACTTATTTATAATCAAATATACTTCATTAAATGTTAACAGTTTTCAAAAAGATTGTATCACATCCTTTTTAAAAGGCTCAATTCATTTGCAACAAAAATCCAGATTAAAAATTGCTTTTAATAGCATTCCTACCTCACAACGGTCTTTCAAATTTTTATAATCTAGGAGAATTTTAGAAATATAATATAATTTAGAAACACAAACAATAAACTTCAGATGACATCAATTATATTTTCATATTATCAGATATAGAAATTATTGATCTTATTATTTTTGGTACTTTAACAATTATATTAAATTAGAGAAATAATAATATCATGTCTAGCATATGCCAGTCATTTTACAATCATGTGATTCTCACACCATCCCTGGGACTTGGGTTCAACTACTATCCCTTTACAGAACAGTAAAACTGAGGTGAATAGACTTAAATCAAATCTGGATTTATAGTCACTAATGATAAACATTTTAAATTTTTAAAAATCCAATACTCTTGGCCATTTAAAAGGGAATATTATCTACAAATTCATATATTCCCTTAAAAAAGACAAGTGGTGACAATCCCAGCTCTGAGTAACTTTTTTTCTCTCCTTTCTTAAGAGAGCTGAAAAGTCCTGGCTCCCTTTTTGAGGCTTATCAGATAAAAAAACTACCCTAAGCATTTCATCCTTCTGGGAGTTTCAGGCTGATGCATATTAAGTTTTACAAACAACTTAAAATCACCTGTAATTATACAGGTTAGCTAAGTTTGGCCTAGGCAGAGACCTGAGGAATTTGAATCAATGCCGATAGGATGTGGTCAGTTTCCCCAGGCATAAACTTCCAGAGTTCCAATAATTAATTGAACAGTACAAGGAAACATCTCAAGATTTCATGTAATAATCACAGATCACAATAACCAATATCTTTACCATAGCCAATATTCATGTAAGATGAGATTTAATAAGGCCTTCCTACAGGTTTATCCTGAAAGGCAGTTGGTCTTCTAACCCTCTATAACTTTATTGGTTTTCAAATCAAACTACAACATTTTCATTCACAATCTTTCTACTCAAAACAAAATCAAACTTCCTTACACCTTCTCAACATACTTAAACCATCTGAAGCTGGCACAAAGGCACCCAGAACAACTAACCAAGGCTAGGGGGGCTTAGAGCACATAGGCCTGCTGTGGACCACCCCACCCCCATCTATTTCCAAATCATTTTTTTCCTACCCATCATATTTTCATTGAAACCTTTCTTCTTCTTTCCTAATCTTTCAAACCTATTACTCAGGCTACCTCCACTTTCCTTTACATTCCAAATTAAAAAAAAAATCATACCCCACTTTTGTCCTGCTTCTCTGCACCTGTTGAAATCTGGAGGGAGTTAACACCTAACCATTTACAAATCAAGAGAGCTTTATTTCCCCCATACCCTTCACAAACAGCTTTTATAATGTTAATGCTTAAAAGGCAGAAAAACCCTTATTTTTGCAGTTTTAAACACATTGCCATGATATCAGATATATTGGTGGGAGGGGGTGCAAAGACAGTTCTCCAGATTTATTTTAAACATAAAGTACAAACTATAGCTTTGAGATCTGATTAAACCTGAATTCAAAACCTTAGCTTTTTCCTCTATCAGCTCTTGCTACCTTGGGATGTATGCTCTAGATCCTTATCAGTAAAAGTTGCTTGTTGCACCTTCCAGTAACTTCTGAGAGAGTCTCTTACTGCCTTTTTTTCCCCCATTACTCATTATCTAACTTTGTTCTGGAATCCCAACGTGGCCAGTGTTGGGACCCCCCAAAAAGAATCTTAATCTCCCACTGAAAGCCTAAGGTGGGAGTTCTTTCCCAATGTTCTCTCTCTCTAATTACAGACCTTAGAAGTTTTCTTAGAAGTTTTCTGGCTGCATTTTAAATCTTTAACCACCAACATGAAACATTTTACAAACACGCAGAGAAGCAGCTCGATGAGACAAAGTGCACATGAATCTAATTTTCTTATTGGCTTTTTAGGCTTAGTTTGTTTTAAGATAAACCAATTTAGAATTAGAATTAGACTGGTCAAAATTCAGCACATGCCAATTTACTCTGAGTTACCCTTTAGTTCCATATCCTTCTATTACAATACAATTTACTGGTCAAAATTCAGAGTTATTACATGCCAATTTACTCTGACTGCTCCTAGTCAATTATAGAGGATATCCTTCCAAGGGACCTGTCTAGATATCTTTCCCCAGAGTCACTTGGAGAAAAAAGAAAATGGCCTACAACCTAAAAATGGGAGGTCTGATAGATAAGGAGCAAGGATTTTTGCGATAAGACTTACCCACCCTTCAGAGCTGGAATTTTAGGAAAAAGTCCTATGGGCACCCAGACCCCAGCACTGTTGGGATAAAAAAGTGTACCTCAAGAATCCAAGTTCAAATCTGATGTTGTGGCACCATTATTGTGAACCCAGAGTTCCATGAACTCCACAAACCTCAATTTGAAACAGTCTGCTATAAGAGACAAACAAAATTGGGGTACGTGTCCACAATTTAATTTCACTCAAGGTGGCTTGACATGCATTGCATGGGAGTTCAGTCCAAAACTGGGTACCCCTAAGGGGGCAAATTCAGAACTGGCTTGGTTTGGGATTTTGGGGTATAGCCTTATATGCCCTTTGAAGAGTAGGTGTTCCCAAGTGGTGCCAATCAACCGTGATTGGTCGACATACTAGGAGGTAGGTCATACTAAATTGAGGTCTTGAGTAGGTGCTTTAGATCATAGTCCATAGGGGCCAATATCACCCACCATCAAAGGAAATACCACCCCAAGTCTTGGAAGTCTGTCTCTACCCAAACCTGAGTAGGATACAATCAATTTAGGCCTGGGTTGGATTTTGACCAAAATAAGAAGATTCAGTGCAATCTTATTATCAGAAATGTCCTTCTGAAGAACTTTGGTCAGAAGGCTGACAGGGGGCAGGGTGGAGCTCTGAGTCTCCAGTACATAGATTACCAAGACAAATAATTTTTAATAATCTGTTGATTTATTTATTTATTTTGAGGCTGGGTCTCCCTATCTTGGCTAGGCTAGAAGTACAGCAGCCTGACCCCACTATGAACCAGCCCAGAAACTTTGACCTGCTCCATTTCCAAAACCCTGCTGGTTTTCTCCTCCTTTGGCATCTTGGTGGCTCCATGCTCCTGTGGGGGACGATGTGGAAGGGGGTGCCCTCACCATATTGGTATGGACTGGACTTAATGTAGACATTTGATTGGCTTTAGCCATAATGAGCTTAAGCTCAACACTCTTGAGCTCAAGTGATGAAATAACCTTAGTTGCAGGGATTATAGGCAAAGGTAACCATGCCAAGCCTCTACTGAAAATTTTAAGGAATGAACAGTAGTTTTTTTTTTTTATCAGTATCATATTTGTTGTTGATTTTTTAAAACTGTTGTTCGGTTAAACTGTTATTTTAACTGTTAAAAAAATCACTATTATATTTGTGGGGGCAGCTAGGTAGGCACAGTGGATAGAATGCTGGGCCAGGACTTCATGAGTTCAAATATGGCCTCAGACTCTTTTTAGCTGTGTGTCCCTGGGCAAGTTACTTAACCCTATTTGCCTCAGTTCCTTATCTGTCAAATGAGCTGGAGAAGGAAATGGTAAACCACTCTAGTATCTTTGCCAAGAAAATCCCAATGGGGTCATGAAGAATTGGACACAACTGAAAAACAACTGAGCAATAACATTATATTTGTTCTCCTACATCTTTTCTTCAAGCTCATATTCAGTTAAAAGAAGATATTTGTTTGCTTGCATTTTGGCATTTTCACTAATTTATTCCGGAGATCATATGCCCTACAACCCCCCAAAAGAGCTGGAAGTTAGAATAACCTGCTTTTTACCTGCTGCTAAAGGGTTACAGAATGATAGCAGAGGTCTTTAATGTGAGCCATCTTTTGTTTAGAAGAGGAGGGTTAGCTACACAGAAATGGCCCTGTTAGCCCTCCAGTATTTATCATCAATATCAAATTAATGAACACTGAACATTTTACTGATCACTGTATGGGATCCTATTTTTAGATACCTGGATGCCTGGTGACCAGTTCATTCATGACTTATCTCCTTCAGCTGAGTAGCTTGGTGTGGAATGAAGTATGGGGGGGTAGGGTGGAGTGGAGAAGGCAGGAGTCAGAGTTCAAGAAAAACAGAGTTTCTTCGATCTTTTTTCATCTAACACACTGACGACTCATCTCCTACCACAGATACACATTCAAGAACAGCAACGAGATTGGACAGAGTTTGTCCATGAGGACTTGTTTAACCTTACTACAAGCAGTCAGGAGCCTGAGGTCTGCCTACATCTGCAGCAGGGTACCAACTATACCGTGACCATTAGGATTACCTTTCCTAGGCTCTCTGTGCCTGTAACTGTCAGGATCCAAACAGCTGGTAGGTGGTACAAAAGCTGTGTTAATGTATGACCCTTAAATCATAGACTACTCCCTTCTATGAAACTAGGGGTAATGTAGGGAAGCTCCTATAGTGTCTGGGGTGGGATGTTTTTTGACTCATCAGATGGTAGATGACCCAGCTCCAGAGCACATTGGGAAGCAGGAGACTGTACTGGGATGTAGGAGGGTAGATGAGAAATGAGGATGGAGGTGAGATCGAGGTGAAATGGATAAAATTCATCAACCCATGGACTTTTGGAAGCTCGCTAACAATACAGCATAGGATAGGATCCCACCTATACTGGTAAACCATTTATGCTCTCCCTTCTCATCCCTGAAGGAACTCCTCTGGCTTCCTTCAAGTCCCAGCTAAAATTCTATCTTTCATAGGATGTTTTTCCCAACTCTTTTTAATTCTAGTGCTTTCCCTCTATTGATTTTCTCCAATTTAATCTGTATATATCTTGTTTGTATATAATTGTTTGCATGTTTTCTCCCTCATTTGACTGTGAGTTGCTTGAAAGCAGAATGTGTCTTTTTGCCTTTCTTTGTGTCCCTAGTGCCTGGTACATAGTAGGCACTTAATACATGTTTATTGGCTGACTGATTGACTTGTAAAGTGAATTATTTGTTGTTGTTCAGAAGTCGATATTGGAAGTTCTAGCTAAAAAAAAAAATACTTCAGCATTAGCTTTTGGTGCCTTGACATGCTTAAAGAGCCTGATAGTTATGAGTCCTGAATGAACAATGGTGGTATGATATTGTTGGAAAAACAGGGTTCTAGGTTTATAGACAAAATTTATAGACAAAACATAACATTTATTAGAAGCACGTTGTAGAATGTGGGTAAAGGTAGTATGCAAAATGAATAAGATTTGTGGGCTAGAGACCTTTCTACAAAATGCTATAACATTAATCACTAATGATGATGATAATTAGCATTTATACATCACCTACTAAGTGCTACATAATGCACTAGCTGCTTTACAAATGTTATCTCATTTGATCTTCACAACAAGCCTGGGAGGTAGATGCTATTATTATCACCATTTTATTGTTGTTGTTCTCTGCCAAGAAAACCCTCAATGGGTTCACAAAGGGGTTTTCTTGGTAAAGATACTGGAGTGACTTGCCTAGGGTCACACAGCTAGTGAGTGTGCGAGGCTAGATTTAAACTCAAGGAAGAGGAGTCTTCCTGGCTCCAGGCCTGATACTCTATCTACTGCTCCACTTAGTTGCCCATTTTACAGCTGAGGAAACTGAGGCAGGCAGACAGGTTAAGTGGCTTTCCCAAAGTCCCACAGCCAATGAATGTCTGAGGTAGGATTTGAGCTCAGGTCATCCTGACTCAAATACTGACAGAAAAAGAACCTTGCCAAATGGATAACGAAGGATGAACAACAATCTGTGAGTAGTAGTAGCTGTCCCACTGGGGACCCAACTGGCCAGTTCCATTTGGGCAATGATGCTATTTCTTTCTTTCCTTCCTTCCTTCCTTCCTCCCTTCCTTCCTCCCTTCCTCGTCTTCTCCTCTACTCCTACTCCTGCTCTTCTATCTCTGTCCACATGTGGAGTCACTTTGTTATACATGGGTGCTCTGCCCAAAGGAATAAAAATTTTGGTCTCTTATACTATGCAAGATATCTTGAAATTTGGGGGCTAGATTTTTTTTCTTCTCTACTTATTTATTCTATTGTTGTTTTTTTAACTGGGCAATTTGTCTTATATAGTTTTCATTTATGATTTTTTAAAATATAGCTCTAGAAAATCAGGCTTTGATAAAGCCCTTTGGGATTCAACTGGAGCTACTTGATTATGCCTTTAAATTCAAATCACTCTGGCTCTCATTGATTGGCCAACAATAGGTCCTAGCCCAAGCTTACTTGCTTATTGTTTGGTTTTGATGTTTCAGAGTGAGTGTAAATAGCAATTGTTTCGGTTTTGGCCAGAAACCCTGAGGGAAGGTCTTCCCCTCCCAGACTGATTCTTTTGAGAAGGCAAACTAGACCATCTTTTGCCTCAATTCTTGCCTAGCCTTTAGTTACTGACTGAGTGTTGCTGAAGACAAAATGAGACCTGGGAAAGGCCTTGGCTTAAAAAGGCCATGATCTCTCACTGCATCTAGGACCATCACCAGTAGTCTTAGACTCCCAATAACTGTGGAGAAGAAAATGAGGCTGATGACTTTGCACAGCTCTGACTCACTTAAAACCAGTTCACTTGTAAGTTAAGATAACGCTCTCCTGATACCATTGGTCCTCTTCCAGAATGAATGATGAACTATGGAGTCAAGAGATTCTGAGTTTAAAGTCTTCCTCTGATAAACCCTAATTTTGTAAACTTGGGCAAGACAACTCTTGAAGACTAAAAATTATCAGCATGACTCTGATCTGAATGAGTGGGATTAGTGTATATGTTTGTATGCGTGCATTTATGTGTGTGTTTCCAGACAAGAGTTGAACCCAGTCCTAATTCCACCCCTGCCTCACAATCAATTAACTAAAAAAAAAAAATCCTAACTACCTTGATGTCTCCTTTGTCTGTCTTTGATTACAAACCCAATTGCCGCTCTTTAGGTCGATATAACAGATATTCAGTGTTCTCACCAAGTTATTTTTCTGTTAAATGACCACTTAACTGATATAGATGGGTGTTCCTTCTAAATTATATTCAATTAGGATTGACTAGCTTTGCCTGTAGGCCCTCTTGTTACTCACAGAAACTGTTCATTTCTTTTAAAAAGTTTCTTGTAAAAAGGTCATTTCTTTTTCCCAACCATAGTCAAGATTGTTTCCTTTAGCTCACAAATTAGAGCACATTTCTAAATTGACCTGTAAAAGGGTCAAGTACCTTTTTTTCTTCATGCTTTCTATTAGAACCATATATTCTTCCCAGCCTCATGTGAAACTCACCCTTTATATACCAGATATAAAGCTAAACAAAAACTAGTTTTGTTACATAGTACTTTATTGATATTCGGGTACTCAGATGAATCTATGATTCTCATCAATTTATGTGGTCCTTCCAATGATACCAATTACATCCCATCTTTGCCTGCCCTTCCAGGTGACTATTGTCTCCTATAGACAGTCCCCCCAACTTACTGGGAGCCATTCATCTGTTTCTCCTGACATTATCAGGATACAAGTGGAGCATCTTGGCTGTGCTGTTTTTCTGCACTCATTTTTTTTAATGCATGCATATTACCGATGACATCATTAACTCTGTTTCTTCTTTGAAAGTCCCTGTTTGTTATATTGCTGCTTGCCCATTCTCACCATGAGCACCTCACATATTGATGTCATTATTTTTTTTTTGAAAGTAGGCATATGTTTGTATTAGATCTAATTCGATTCAGCAAACATTTATTGTACATTTACTGTGTGCCAAGCCCTGAGCTGGAACACTGGGGATACAAAGATAAGAATGAATAGTGTCTGCCCTCAAGTAGCTTATATTCTATTATTTTATGTATATAATAATGAGGTATACAGGGGTATGTTGGATCCAGCTTTTTTGGGCTCTTAAGAGCTAATTATTAAGTTTTCATTGTGAGCATTTCACACCTTGGAAATTGGCCAAAGATGCAGAACAGGGCCTGATTTTTTTTTTTTTGTTGTTGTTGATTATCTAGACCAGTAATGTCAAATTCATATAGAAATGGATGTCCATAATGATCCCTGAAGGCTTCATATTGAGTTAGAAAATTACACATTAATATTATTCATGCTTTATTGTATCTTTATTTTGTTAAATATTTCCCAATTTCTATTTCAACTGCCCTCGGGAGTGTTGCGGGCAGTGTATCTGATACCTCCAGTCTAGGTTTAAGAAAATGATAGGGGCAGCTAGGTGGTGTGGTGTATGGAACAGCAGCTCTGGAGTTAGGAGGACCTGAGTTCAAATCCAGCCTCAGATACTTACCTCAAGGAAAAAAAATGGATGGAGGAAATGTTAATAATGTAGATTAAATTTGTAAGTGTGTTGTGTGTATACAATTTTTTTTAAATGGAGAGCCAGTTGTTAAACATATACCATCATATCCCTGGAGGTATATCATAATGGAGTTCTGCTGAATTGAATATAACAACATATAATGGACTCTAATTTTATAAAAATTGTTCAGTATGCTGTAAAAAGAAAATCCCTGGATGTGGAATCCAGAGACCTGACGTTCTAGTTGAGTATCTGTCATTAAGTATATTTATGGCCTTGGGTAAGTTACTTCCATTCTTTAGATTTCATTTTTCAAGCTAAAGGGTTGGATTATGATTCATAAAGTCTCTTTGAGCTCTGAACATGTATAGTTTTATGGCTCCACAAGGATCTTCTGTGTCTAGTGTAGTTTCCATTCAGTCAATCAACAAAAAGTCATTAAATGTCTCCTGTGTGCCAGGCACATATCTTATAGATGGCTCAAGGAAATCAGGTTTATCTAATAACCAAGCTTTTCATCAGCTTGGTATGTTGAGTAGTCTGTGAAAGAGCTGTGTTGTCTTGGAGAGGCTGTGTGGTTCAGTGGGTAGGATTCTGGATCAGGGGTCAGAGGACTTGTATACAAATCTTGGCTCCTACGTTAATTATTTAAGTGACCTTGGTTAAGTCACTTCTCTGAGATTCATCTTCCTCATCTATAAAATAAGGGGGTTGGACTAGATGGTGACTGAAATCTTTTCTAGCATTAAATCTTTAATCTTAGAATTAGTCTTTCCTTCTGCTCCTTGACAATACACTGTGGATTGCCATAATTTTTCTGCGTCCAAAAAAGGGCAAGACCTTTTGAATCATGAAATACCAATGTTAAATGATGATATAGGGGAAAGAATGACTAAATCTTTCCCTTAGAGCAGTGGTGTCAAACTCAAATAGAAAGAGAGGATAGTGGCACTAAACTGTCCATATGGATCCCTGCAGGCTGTATATTAACTTGGAAAACCACACATGTTTATTTATTTCTTTTTTTAAAATTAATATATCAACACATTAAAATCAGATAGG